TTTTTTTTTTTTTTTTTTTTTTGGTACCGGGGATCAAACTCGGGTCCTTGCTCTTGCGAAGCAGGCGCCGGAACCACTGAGCTAAATCCCAGGCCTGCTTTCTACTTTTGCTGGACATCTGAGTTGTTTCCAGCTGGTGACTTTTATGAATGAGTATAAATAGTGTGCCGTGAACTCACACATGTGTTATATTGGGTGTATATCTAGGAGCAGAATTGCTGGGTGGCAGCATATACATGTGCCCAGCTTTGTTGTGGATATTACTAAATAATTATCTGACGTGAGTAATTCAAATTCCCGAGGGAACTGTGTCCGTTCGAGCTGATTCAAATCCCAGAAGAGAAGCAGAATGTCATGCGTCCATAATGTCGTTTCGTGATGCTTTTGAGGTGCTCTATAAATCCCTTCCTCTCTGAGGTAGTGACTTGTCCATGTAGATCGCATGGGTTTCTGCTAGCACTGCCCAGCAGACTCCATTTCTAATGGCTAGGAGTGAACACTTTTCACCAGTCTCCCCTGATAGGGGAGGGTGTAAGTGAACAACTGTTACTCTGTAGGGAGGAGGGAATGGACAGAAGTGTTGATTCACAGGGCAAGTTTCATGTCCTCTAGGTCCGTGCTGTCTGCACTTTGGTTCTTGTACTAATCATCCCCTGCCGTGCTGGGGATGGTGATGCACACCTGTAATCCCAGTGTTCAGGAGGCTGAGGCAGGAGGGTTACTGTGAGTTTGAGGCCAGCCTGGACTACATAGTGAGTCCCTGTCGAAATAAACAAAACAAAACAACAACAACAACAACAACAAACCAGTCCTATCACATAGCAAGGCAGAGAAGAAACTCAATTTGTTTTTGTTTTGTTTTTTGGTACCAGGGAGGAACTCAGGACCTTGCATTTGTAAGGCAGGCATGGTGCCACTAAACTAAATCCCTGGCCAAAGAAACTCAGTTTGACTTCACTGTTAGACTTTCACCTGGCTCTTCTGAACACCGTGAAGGGGTGGAACAGTCAGGGTCCCATGTGGGTGGGAGAAGGGAGCCCAGGCAGAACTGTGGAGACGTAATAGTGAGGCCAGGCAGATGGGTGGAGCCTTTCTAGGATGGGTGTTTCTCCTGCGCAGAAGGACTTCCTGCCTTTGTCTCTGTGGTCTTTTCCTGGGTTGTCAGGGAAATAAATGCTGCTGGATCATAAACTCTGGTGGGCCGGAAGGAGAGGCGTGGTCTGGGACTGGAACTCCGGGTTCTCTCGGAGGGGCCCCTTCTTCCAAGGAGGAAGCAGCAGTGACCCAGCTGTTGCCAGCTGCAGTGGAAATTCTGAGCTCAGCCTCGGGCTGCTAGACCACAGCAGGCTCCACCCTGGGGCCTTGATAGGGAGAGCAGCCTGCTGTCCTCTGGCCTGTAGGCAGGCTTCTCAGAGTCCCTCCTCTTGCCTAAATTTGGGAAAGAATCCAAGCCTGTAGCCCTGAAGGGCTGGGATCACCACGTCCATCCCTACCCCCTCTTAATGTTCATTTTTCCCAGCCTCCAGGGCATTGCTTGGCTCACTCAGTCTAATCCTTCGGGTCACAGAAGCTCCACTAAAAAAGTCAGTGAGAGGCCGCCAAGGAGTGAAAACAAATAAATCAATCATCATCTGGTCTTTAGGGATAAGAGGACAGATGGAAAACAAAACACTTGCTTGGGGTATTGGTCTCAAATTCAGTCCCCGCCAACTGTTTTCATTCGCTCTTGTACTCCTGACTTTGCTGGTGATTTCTGTTCTGCTCTTTAATATTCGTACCCTCCCGAGTGGAGTGGAGAGGCTTTCCTCAGGGAAGCACCTCTCCTGCCACCCTAGCCTGCGATGCCCCTCCACTCGTTTCTAGGGGCTTACAGGACTGCTGCCAAAGCAGAATGTTCAGAAGGAAAAGCGTTTCTCTCATACACATGTAGAACGAATATATATCAAAGATGTGTTTAACCTATTAATGGAGCAAGATGTGTATTGGAAGAATGGGTTCAAGGAGTGTTGAGGAACTGTTTATTGGCACTGAAGAAAGAATGTTAGAACAGTATTGCTAGGATAAATACAAAACTGGTTCATGTCCTACAGGATAATCAAACCAGTAACCTGTGGGATTATCTTTTGTCTTTTTCTTTGCTTTTTTTTTTTTTTTTTCATGTTTTGGGACTAACCGAGGGG